ACAAGAATATTTTCCATTAAATAACACTAGAGTTGTTTTGATTAATAGGATGATGTTAACAATAAACTGTACTTGGCATGTCAGAATGAGTCTGTGTTCCCCCATCACTCAAAACAGGATGAGTTAGGAAGAATTGAACCTCTACTGAAGTAAGGGAGGAAAAAAGAGGCAGCATTATAATGTGAAGCTTACAACAGCAAAGCAAGAATGACAGGATTTTCGTACAACTAAAAGATTATCTTCTTTAAATTTCTAACTCTCATGTTTGCTCTTTATGGGTAGATTGTTAGCGTATATGTGCAGCTTTCTCAAGAGGTATTTAGGACTTCAAATGCAGAAATAAATTAATTTGCAAGATAGGGGCAATAATGAAGGATTCCATTTCAAATCACTGACGTGTAACTTTTGTGGAATTTTCAAACACTAAAAAATATAAGTGACAGCCTCTTTTATTTATATAAATGAACGCACTGATGAGGGAAGGTACAAGATTGACAGCATTAGAAAGGGAAGCTCTCTTTGTATCTAGAGAAGAGATATAGCTTACATAGCAGTAATACAAGCTTTTCTCCATGTCAGTTTGCCACCATACTGTCCTAGCAGGCCCACCTTCACAACATGAAGGTAGTTCAGCCACCATGTGTATCCCATCCTTTGTTTCTCTTCTGAGATTACCTAAATTAGTTGCAGTGACATGGACAGATATCAGCTAAGAACTGAAACCACCAGTTTATTCATATGGCCAACAATAGGGACAATTTTCTCTCAGTGTCCACCTAAGCTAGAACATAATTAATGAACTGCTCTGTATCCTGTCACATAGTGCCTGAGCTATCCAGTCTTCTGTGACATCAATTTTATGCCAAGAGCACAGCAGTCTCACAACCACTAAAAAGCCATTTACTTGTAAAGAAGTGTAAGAAACATCTCTCAGGGGCTAAAAATGTTAAAGAAATGCTCAACAGTATATTGAGTTGGCAGATTCTTAGGCTCAGATTACAGAAAAACATTAGCAGTGAAAGTCCACAAGACTTATCCTAATTTATCAGATTACTTCCTCAGAAACTCTTCTTTTGAACTGATCTTCAACTAAAGAACAAATGTATAGACTTCAATGCTTAATAAAGCTAAAAGCTTCTCCCTGGGGTAATTGAAATTTTTCCATCAAAGGGTGGATAGACCTGGTTGCAGCTGCAACAAAGAAGAAACATATAAAGCCAAGTGGAAAGCAGTTAGACAGCATTGGTGGTACAAGACCATTGAACATGGTCTTGCTAATTGGAATCTATAGCACAGGACATTCCACTACATGCTGGGCAAATGACCCTGAAAGTTTCAAATCTATCTAGTATAAAAAAAAGTTCAGATGTAAAAATAATCATACGAATGATGGATTCTGTATCCTTGAATGGGCATAACCAACCAGCGATCTGGGTAACTGGCAAATTTCTTTTTTAAATAAGGCCCTTTGAGCCCCATATATGCATCTACTTTCACAAGCATTTCAAAACCTGTCTTCTAATAATTTCACACAGAGCTTTCAGAGAAGCAATGTTCAAAAGAATAAAAGTAATGAAACACAGCAAAGTTTTACATTTTTATTTCTGCACTTTGGGAAAATTCCTATTGAAGATACAAGGCAGTTCAAATTGGAATTTCTTTACTGCCAACACAAATGAGTAACTCTTGATCTAATGAAAAATTACAGGGATTGAAAAGCTGAGATAGACTTGGGAAATGTTTCAGTTACAGCAGGATACAGCCCTTATTGCACTTGTAATGGAAATTGTTATATATGTGGAGACCTAAATTGCTCCTGTGTAGCGGTTTTGGGGTCATTAGGCCTTTTTGCCCCTGAGGAACTCTTGTAGGTAGCAAAAATCACAGACTTCATCTTTATGGAAATATTTTGATCAGCAATGTCCTTATGTTAACTTGAAATAAGATAACATTTATTGATAAAACTGCTTATTTCTTGGGGTTTTTTTTGTCTTACTTAGTCTGTAAGATCCTTGGGACAGAGACCATCTTTTATTCTGTGTTTGCATAGAACACAGTGTGGTCCTGGACCATGGCTCGGGCTCCTAGACACTGCAGTAATACTATGACTACTAATAGCAATTTTAAAAATATTTGGTATACAATTTAAATGATACCATCCAATGGGCATTTATGCATCCTTTGAAAGGCCCAGATCCTGCAATCTGATTCATGCAGGCATTCTCTTATGTCCCGTGAGGGGGTTCACAAACTATACACTGGAAGGAAAGGGGTTAAAGAGATACTCTGAATCCAGGCATCCCCCTCCCACTGTACCTGCAAAGCTTCCACAGATTGGAGGAGGAACTTAAAAAGAGTAACCCAGAGCTGTCATGCTCCTGAGGAGCACCACAGGAGCTCTTGCTGGTGGAGGATTGATGATAGGGACCTTACCAAGACAACAAAGAAGGGACCTGAAGGTTAGAGATTTATCTTATTGTTTAATTCTTAACTGTACCCACTCCCCTCCTTAGGCTTCAGAGCCCATGCTTCAGCATGTGCCCCAACTTCTGAGCACTGTGAACAAAGCATACAATTAACCCCACTATCCCAAGTCTGCTGGCCCACACCATCAGACTCACTCCTGTGGGCCCCAAAAAGCAGTGTAGAGATAGCCTAAGGCTACGTCTAGACTGGCCCCTATTCCGAAATAGCCATGCTAATTTCCAACTTTGGAATAGGGAAATCCGCGGGGGATTTAAATATCCCCCGCGGGATTTAAATAAACATGTCCGCCGCTTTTTTTCCGGCTTGGGGAAAAGCCGGAAAAAAGCGTCTAGACTGGCACGATCCTCCGGAATAAAGCCCTTTTCCGGAGGATCTCTTATTCCTACCTTCAGGAAATAAGAGATAATAAGAGAATAAGAGATCCTCCGGAAAAGGGCTTTATTCCGGAGGATCGTGCCAGTCTAGACGCTTTTTTCCGGCTTTTCCCCAAGCCGGAAAAAAAGCGGCGGACATGTTTATATAAATTCCGTGGGGGATTTAAATCCCCCGCGGATTTCCCTATTCCAAAGTTGGAAATTAGCATGGCTATTTTGGAATAGGGGCCAGTCTAGACATAGCCTACGAGTTTCCAGGAACAAGCCATACATTAGACAGTGACGAAACAAAAATGTCTGTAGGTCATGGCCATCCTCACAAATACCCATCGATTCCCAAATGCTTTTATCTTTGTCCCATTAGCCATCTCTCTCTCTCACTTTCCCTGATCAACTCCATTTTCTCTGTTCTTTCTACTCTGGTACCATCACTTTCTTTCCTGTTTACTATTAATCACTTCTCTGTCTTTTCTTTCCCCACCTGCCACATACCTTTTTATTTTCTTGTCTTCCCCCTTTTCCCATTCTTTCACACTCACATATTCCCTTCTTTCCTCATCAAAGTTTTCATTTCTTTCTCTGCTATTCTGTTTCCTAGCTTCCCCTTCTATTTTTGTCTGCTGTTCCCCATTATTTTTCTCTTTTTATTCTCATCTTTTCCCCCTTTCATCTGCTGTCTCTTCTCTGCCTTTACATTTCTCTTCTCCCATGTTTCAGCTCTTCCCACTAATTCCTTCGAGTCCCACTTTTTGATAGTATATTAACATATTCTGTCTCTGACACTAAACTTTTCTTCATCACTATCTTAACTAATGTTTCACATGCTGCACACAGGAGCTCTTTTCAGTGGAAAGCCCAGAGCAAGAGGTATTATTCTATTAATATAGGCTAGAACTAGTAGGAATGGAAAATGATGGAGCGTTGTGCAAATTGTAGCTTAGAACACCAACAATTTTTAGGGCTAAAACGATGAATCTTGGAGCAATTAGGTGCTTTGTGGAATCAGCAAATGCAGTTTTTAACATGGCAGACAGTTGATTTAGAGCAGTTGATATCAGTACAATGAAGTAATAAAAAAAGTGGTTGTATTCTGAAGACATAAGGCTCTGAATTCCTATGCATTAATGTAATGGGATGCAGGAGACCAAGCAAAAAAATAGGGTAAGCTTTGCAATTTTCACCAGAATTGCTTTCTTATAAGTGCATCATGAATCCCTTTTTGATTTTATCAAATAGACACCAAGGCTATGTCTAGACTGGCATGATTTTCCGCAAATGCACTTTTTGCGGAAAAGCGTCCGTGCCAATCTAGACGCAGTTTTGCGCAAGAAAGCCCCAATCGCCATTTTTGCCATCAGGGCTTTTTTGCGCAAAACAGTTTCTAGCTGTCTACACTGGCCCTTTTGCACAAAAGCATTTCCGGAAAAGGGTTTTTGCCCGAACGAGAGCGTGAAAGTATTTGCACAAGAAGCACTGATTTTGTACATTACAAAGTACATCAGTGCTCTTGCACAAAATCAAGCGGCCAGTGAAGACAGCTGGCAAGTTTTTCCGCAAAAGCAGCCGCTTTTGTGGAAAA